TCATTTACCACAATCTTTCACCAAATTCAAATGAGCATTGCATCATTCCAAGAGCAAAACTTTGACTTGTCACCACCTCTCTTTTGGGACCTCATAAATATTATATGAGAATATTCTGTCTGGTTGAAAAAAAAAAGGTGATTGATCTATCTTGTCTTTAACAGTGTAAGCTGAAGCTCTCAAACCTGTCATATCCCTTTATATACATAAGTTCAATGTCCCTGAGTTGTTTCTACTTTCTACTTTTTTGATTAAGCCCAAGCAATCCATCTCTCATTTTCTGAAGCAAGAGTTGTAAATGGACTATGTAATCTAGTCTTAAGGTGTTCTCTGGTGCCAAGGGAGAGCGCGTGCTGAGTCTCCTCTGCTTGCGGGTCGCTCCAGCATTTTACCTGTAAACTAGAAATCAGAATCCATTCTGTACTCTTTGGAAGAATATCCCAGTCTGATCATGGGCATAGCCAACAGAACGAGAGATGACACATTTCTATCTTATTTCTGTTCTTCCTAAGCCTCCTCTCTGCGCATATGTACTAGAGCTGTCATTTGTTACGTGCTGCAAGTTCAGCAGATGATTGTTTTCATCCTGGGACATGCCAAGCACACAGGGCAGTTCATCTCCATGTTTTTTCTTGTGGACCATTTTAATAAATAACTAGAATTTTGGAGCATGTAGTATATGGTTCAGCTGCCTCCACCAGCTGTCTTATGAATAATGCACATCTTTGACTTCCTTTCTATCCAAACAGTGGCTACGTTGACACAGTAAATTTTGAAGACATTGACAATGCTGATGTAGACTTAATCCCGTTTAACCATGTGCAAACTTCAAAGCCTCACTACAAAAGCCCTGTGCAGTATGTTTCTCTTATTAGTATGATTTTGATGCTGCCTCTTGAGTTCTGGTTACTTGGCAATGAGGAAAAAACAGTTAAAGATCTGATCTCAGGCTCAAAAGAATGGAAGAAATTGGGGAGGGTGCTCCTTATTCTTTTTAATAACTTGAATGAGGTTTGTCAACAGAGGAAGCACAGTGGGCTTTCAGATTCAAGGTTGAACTTGAAGAGTCCTTTTTAATAACTGAGTCAGTAGTAAATGGCCTGCAGTGGTAACTGCCTACAGTGATCAGTGTAGGTCTGTATAAATTGAATCACAGAATCACAGAATCACAGGATGTTAGGGATTGCAAGGGAGCTCAAAGGATCATCTAGTCCAATCCCCCTGCCGGAGCAGGACCACCTAGATCAGATCACACAAGAATGCGTCCAGACGGGTTTTGAACATCTCCAGAGAAGAAGACTCCACAACCTCTCTGGGCAGCCTGTTCCAGTGTTCTGTTACCCTTACTGGGAAGAAGTTCTTCCTCATGTTTAAGCGGAACCTCCTATGTTCCAGCTTATATCCATTTCCCCTTGTCCTATCATTGGATGCCACTGAGAAGAGCCTGGCTCCATCCTCATGACAGTCACCCTTTACATATTTATAAACATTAATGAGGTCACCTCTCAGTCTCCTCTTCTCCAAGCTAAAGAGAACCAGCTCCCTCAGCCTTTCCTCATAAGGGAGATGCTCCACTTCCTTAATCATCTTTGTGGCCCTGCGCTGAACTCTCTCAAGCAGTTTCTTGTCCTTCTTGAACTGAGGGGCCCAGAACTGGACACAATATTCCAAATGCGGCCTCACCAGGGCAGAGTAGAGGGGGAGGAGAACCTCTCTTGACCTACTAACCATACCCCTTCTAATACACCCCAAGATGCCGTTGGCCTTCTTGGCCACAAAGGCACATTGCTGGTTCATGGTCATCCTGCTGTCCACCAGGGACCATTCAGTCTAGATATACAAAATTAGCCAAGGAAATGGATACAAAATGAGCAGAGATGTCTACTGAGATGATGGTATAACAGATTTTATCCTTCTACTCTGTTACAATAAGCTTAAATGCAACCTATTTTGACTACACGTGAATTTGTCATAGAACATTAAGGCCTGATTCTTTACTGTATCACATTAGTGTTATAGCTTCAGACAAATTATGCTCCTAATACCATGCATCACTCTTTTCAACCAGAAATGTTGATTAGGACTTTTTTCCATCCCAGAATTGCTCTGTTGCCCAAGTTTCCCTGACATCCATCTAATACAGAATGGTCATAATGGACTGACAGTAATTGGCTGTCGGACCAAAAGCTACTCTTAGCGTGCCCATCCTGGGATGTAAAAGCTGCCTGTGGTAATGCCAGTGCAATATACTGTCTTGGTATAAGGAACTCTTCGTGATCAGCAGGCTCTGACCTAGGCTAGGATGGAAACGAGAATATGCTCTCCCTCCTGCTGTTAACCTTGCTAGACTAATTGCACAACCAAGTTTTAAGAACTCGGCAGACACCTTTCCGTTTTTCTCTATTGAGAAAGGTTGCATGTGAAGCTAGTCTGAGTACACCCTGAAACACCTGACTCATGGTTCCTAATGATGCTGAGACTACCTAACACAGGCATTCCTAAGCAGCAGGAAAAGCTCAAGCAGAGTGGACATGGAAGAGAAGGTTCTGAGCTTAACAAGCACCAGGAATTTCTGCTGATGCCATTCTGAATAGAGTCCTTACTTGCAAAAAACCTGTTTCTTTTCAAACTGTGCCGTACTTTCATACTTCAAACGCTTCCTGTTCTTTAGTATTAATGAACAGGTCTGTTGAGTAGAAGTGCATGTGCCATTGTTTGATCGGTAGTATGACTCAAATATCACCATGTTAAAAACGTGTGATTTTTAACTTTAGTCACTAGATGGCCTTTGAGTTTGCAAAAACTCCCTGAATGCCATTAGGAACCTTACTTTTAGCTAGGTCACAAACTTTGAAATTCAGAAGTTTCCACTTTTAGACTTTCCTAGTTGTCTTTAGTAGCTTGAGCTGGTATTTAGCGTTTATTTGCGAACCTTTGAGAAAGTAAAATGATAAAAGTGACAACTTAATTGTAAGAACTAAAAATGATAAAACAAAAGAGGAAGGAGACCGTTCTGTTTACTTAATCAGATTTTCACTTTTCATAGGCCTTTCCTTTCTGTCCTTTCAATGATCTTGCACAGTCCACATTTGTGTGGAAACTGCAGAAGGGGTACTTCACTGAGGGAAGCAGAAGGAGAGAAGCTGTAAAAATATTGCCCTCTCTGTTCTGAAGAAAAGACACAATGCTGGGCCTTACTCGCATATGGCAGAGTATGTGCTGAACATTCCTAGTTGCTAGGAGCTGCCTTGGCTGTAGCTAGAATTTCTGAGCTCCACCTTAGGCCTGTTCATTTCTGTTTCTTACATCAGTTCCAGGGAGAATGCATATCTTTTTGCAATGAATCACATGCTGTCACATGCACGTGTGGGGAGCAGCACATCATTCTCCATACAGCATTACTCGTTATAGCAGTAGGTTCATAGGCAAAGGAGGCTGCTAAGCACTGTAAGATGGTCAAATTTGACTGACATTACTGCGACAAAACCTATTAATACCAAGCTTTTATGTTTATAATGCATCATTCTGATTATTTTATCTCACATCTTGCACAATTCGTCTGATTTCTTATAACCTTCATCTAACTTTTAACTTCTGCTTGAATTAGAACATAAAATAGTACAAAATTATTATTGAGAAATCTGCTTCAAAAGTACAGCACACATAGCATACAATATAGTGCTGAACAGAGATTTCTGAGTTTGTAGGGAAGTCAGCAGAGCCTTAACCCTTAGTTCTGCCATGTCATACTGCTATTGCTGTAAAGCTTTGAAGAATTGAGGCTGACTTGTACACCGTGCTGCAAACAGACTTCTTGTCTGGAGCTGTTTACAGCATATGGTATCATGGTGGATTTATAAGTTTGAGCAACAAGGTCTGTATTACCTTCTCTGGTATTCTTCGTGTAATTTTCCTGGTTTTTAGTGAGTGAGGCTATGGATTTCACTGATTTTTGGCAACCAGGAGACTAAGATCTCTGAGACCTAAAAGATTCTGACATCTGAAAGCCGTGAAAAACTCAGTTCCACACAAAAAAAATTTATTAAGATTTTCATATTTATTCTCTGTATATCATTGTCCGATATCGATATTGCTATGATTTTAAGCAGAAGAAAATCAGAAAGAAGACATTAAAGTGATCTCTTTTCTTTTTTTTTTTTCACTTTTTGTGTTGGCTAGTAGTTCTGGAAAGATACGTAAAGGTATTAAGGCTGCTAGACTCTCACCACAATCCTTGAGAAGTTAGATATATGCTTTGGATTTAGAAACCTAAGTATGCTTTGTAAGTCTGTAAAATGTCAAAAATCCCTTTGTAGATTGTCACTTTCACTCTTTCATGGACTAGCAGTTGCACTTCCTGCCTCTAGCAGTTGGGCAACAGCAGCAGCACTCAGGTATTACTCCGGAGTGAGACACAATTCTTCCTCAGACCATGCAAGAAAGTGGTTGCCATTCAAATTATTAGCATAGCTGAAACTAGCTAAGAGTCATCTGTCATGTAATTTTGCAGAGACAAACAGGAAGAGTGGTGAACCTGGGCATGTTTTGTATGTTACCCTTGCGCCCACCCTCTCTTCCTTTTTGGCAGAACAGGAAACCGTCTTCTGTTTTTCTTCTTTTTTCTTAAGGAATTAGAAAAAAAGATGTAAGTTATGACTTCTGCTGCAGTTGAGCCTAAAAGCCCATAGCATAAGATCAGTGTTGTGAAAAGCTACTGTGCATATATCCAGCACTCTGGATAATACCTTGAAGTCCTTACCATGCAGTTTGGGAGTTCTACAGGTGGGAATCCAGGTGCAGTGTGATTAAGTGGTTTTCCAATTCCTACTGGGAATCTGTAGCACAGTTAAGAATGAAACTTCATGTACCCTGAGCCCTAGCCTGTGCCTTTTTTTTTTTCCAAACTCTGAGCTTTAAGCTACTGAACTGGTGCTTTGCTGAAATTTGGTTTTAAATAATAATAATTAGCGCAAAATGATGACCATAATTCTTAAAAGTTCAGCTGAGATGCAAGTGAAGACTTAGGAGTCTGAGTCATTTTTTATCCAGTTTTTCTCTGTGGTTCAGACATGGAATAGCTGTGGGAGCCTTCACAACATGTAAAAAGCCATGTCACAAGTGTTGTGATTAATCTAGAAGTGCTAAATTTTTGAATCTGATCTTATTAGTCAAAACTATGTGATCTAGTGGCAGCCTGGGATGATCAGTGGGTATTTCCCTAAGGGATCTGTGGAAGTACTTTTCCCATATTAGACTCTTCATTTTTGCACTGGACCAAAGATCTGGGATGGTAATTCAGTTCCTCTCATTCCCTTCTAGGCTTTCATTAAAGCCTGTCTTGGGTGAAAGGATTAATTACATCATCTCTTGGGATCTGTTTCAGTCCTGGACTACAGGGTCATTCTTAATATCCTTGGTTTGTATATGCACTCCTGAATTTACTTTAGGATGAACTTGTTCCTCTACTTCATCTTCTGTTATGTTGCAATGAATGCCTAGAAGCTGGAATCTTCTACCGTTTCTTTGCCAAGGGCAATATCGAAATCTTTTTTTTTAAAAAAGAGCTAGTAAAAAAAATAGGAAGCTGTTATGAAAGAGCTCTCTGACAATCTCTTTCTTTTTCAACATCAGATCTCCAAAAATCGTTTTTAAAACTTATCATGATCTCGTTTTACAGCTCAGTGCTCCATCGAATAGATTACATTGTCAGAGCAAAAGAGTTGTAGGCTTGAATCTCATCTTGTAATACCACTAACTAGCAAGGTTACAAATTGAATGCTTTGATGCTTTTTGGTATTATCAGTGTATGTTGCTCGTGTAATTTTCTTAGGTATACTGGACAACAATTGTCCAGTGG